TAATCCACACTGAGCATGCCTGGCTCCCTGTATGCCTGCAGGAATGTTGTCCGATATACAACACAAAGGGCTGCTGGGGCTTAAAGGGTTGTTGAGAAGTGAAGACATCGAGAGTTGCCCAACCATGGGAAATTCAGGGGGTTGTGGAAGCCTCAACTTCTTTCGTGGGGGTGAGAACGGAGAGAGATGGATGGGAGGCATATTTGATACCAATTCAACCAACCATGGACTCACTCTCTTCACATTTTGAAGCAAATCTGGCTCATCCCAATGCACCTGCTCAGGAATTAGCAAAATGAGAAACCGCGGATCACAACAAAACTATAAAAAGAAAGGAACTTGCTGATTCTTATTAGAACCTCAGGAATGTTGCGGACTTAAAGCTTTTAGCATCCTCCCTTTGACTATTAAATACTTACTCTAGACGAACACCAACTAGAAAGGTTTCCAAAGTCACTTCATCAAACGCGGACATTCTTAACTAAAAAAAGGCTTGATAAGGTCAAAAACTAGAAGTTTTGTCCTTTTAAGTTTTGAATTAGCTAAACTTGAGATGAGCTAAACATTATCATACAAGAGGCAATCAAACTGCATACTAGAATGCGACTTTCTGAACTATAATGACTTAAGAATGAACATAAAGAATTTGAATGTCTGTAAATGGAAACCAGGACGTATAAAAAAGACTAAGACGTTACCTGGAGAAGGCGCCATGGAGAATTTGGCCAGTGGATGGGGTCCTCAACATGAACAGAAGATATGGTCCCCATGAACCAGCTTATCCTTGAGGAATCTTCTGTCTCGAAAGGCATTTTGAACCTCATCCCAGAAGACCATTGGACTCTCATTGCAGCTCTTACCGCAGAGGCCTTGACGACAAACTCCGGAGTGCTTGCTCGGGGATAGTAAACCACCTCAAATGGCTGGCCACAGGCAGCAAGTTTTGCTGCTTCAACGACAGATTCAGCTCTAACTTTACCTTTTCCCCTTATACCATCATCAGACTTTGCTGCCTGACCATTTCGGATGAACTTCTTCTCATCTTCACTCAAGAACCCAGGAAACCCATGATACAGTGAAGAGGCATAATTCCCTGGTCCAGTATTCCATCCGGAGGGCACCTCTGGTCCGCTACCAATCCCCCTCTTCGCCCTCCGGATCCCAACACAGAGATCCCCATTTTCCGCCCTCAAGAACACAATCGAATCCCCTGCAACAAGCTTCTTCTGGTTCACAAAATTGCTCCATCCAGTCGTTAAAAGATGCCGCCTTGGTGTCCCCCTATAAATATGCCTAAACTTCCAAACCTCCCCATGAACATCCTTAGCCAAAATGGTCTGGACAGGAGGCTCAGCCGAGTAATCCAGCCGTGGAAATATGGTCTCAGCGCAATATCTTGGCACAGAAAACCCCCCACCATTGTTAGCATCAGACTGTGTCAATGTCTTGGCAAATGAATTAGGTTTCTCTTGATTCTCATTCTTATCAAGCCCTAGAAATCCAGCATCATCTTCAACATCACATTCGTTGCCTTTTAATGGAATCAATCTTATCTTGGCATAGACCTCATCAGTCTCAGTATCAGCCAAGTACCTAATGGATGACACTCTACAAAGAGTAAGTGGTGGAATTTTAGGGAAAACCCCAAAATCAACATTCTTGTGGGCATGTTCAGCATGTCCCTGAGGAAAGTAAAAGGCTTTTGAGTTCAGTGGTGGCATTTGGACCATACCACCAGCACAGGCATGCCATAACTGAGGATCCAATCCTTTCTCCACTTCATTCATAGGTTTGTTTACTGGATTCATAATATTAATCATTCTCCCTTATTCTTAACCTCCAAACAAATAAAAATGCTAACTTTTCCCCGAATCTCGTTCTGTAACAACAAAAAAGGTTCCAAGTATTAGAGTTTTGAAACAAGGAAAGAGGGGGAGAGAAACAGAGATAGAGAAGAAAAATGATACAATTCTTTAGGATTTGTTCAATTTAGACTGACTACATATCTAGTGAAAACCCATAAATTAAAAGAAGGAATAATTTACATAGAGACTCTTGAAATGACTTGGTTAGTTGTGCCTGAGAAACCCCATTACTTTTCAGAAAATGAAAAAGAGGAAAAGCATGATAAGAGAGAAGGTAGAAGATACGTTTACCTTCAAAATAAAGGTTTTGACATGAAAATACAAAGCCGAGCTTCCATGTTATCAGATCAATGCAATAGGGAAAAAAGAAATGTGATTTTACTTGAAGAGAAGGAGCGAATAGGAGGGTTGCTTAGAATTTAGACAACATAAAAAACAGTAAAAAGAGAGAGAGAAAGAGGGGTGGGTGCAGTGGGGGTAGGGGGATAAAGAGAACAGAGTGTGTTGATGGGGACAGACAGAGACAAGAGACACACAAACCACATACACTCAACAGTCACCTGAAGCTTCGTTGCCGACCAGAGAGAGGGTGGCAGGCTGATTGCTTATGAAATTGACACTATCACACTTCTTTATACACTCCTTATATACTTGTACTCCTACTTGTACTCCTGCACCTGCTTCTACTACATTAGTATATATATATATATATATTGTGTTTTTCTTTTTCTCTGGAAAAAAATGCTCTCATCAGAATTCTTTTTTCTTTTTCCTTTTTCGTTTGTTCTTGAAAAGGGCAGTTGGTCACCCGGAGGGGAGAAGTTGAGATTTGGTAAGGGAGATTTTGCGGAAGCTCTTTCAATGGTTATGTCTTTGCAAGATTCCAAGTACTTAACCTTGCGAGTAAATTCGTACTTTTAAGTTTAATAACTGATCTCATTCTTCTATAGGGTTTCATATTCTATAATATACTATCCTACTCCATGATTCGTGTATCAACACGCGCTGGACTTCTTTAATTGTTGTAAAATTAATGAGATAATCAATTTTGTTTTTTTTAAAAACTTTTATTTTGTTTCTCAGAATTCTTTCATTAGTCAAGATTATTATGCCTGTAGTAGCGGCATTGAGTTATTCCCTTTTCCAACACTAATATCCTAGGGATTATTTGGTGTGCCAACTGCTCTCTCCTGCCTCATTCTACAACCAAATCCCCTTTTTTTTGGCATTAGTTGAATTAGATAGTGTTTATCCGTAAAACGGTATAATTGAATTTATACGTGGTTTATAGATAAGTGAATCGATTTGATCCTATAATGATAAATAAATTAAACAAGAAAGTAAAATTTAGCGTTGAAATCGAGATAAGACAGTAGGGATCTTGATTCCGGGAGTAGCGCTTCCGGAAGCAATAGTAATAATATTAATAAGCAAGAAGGTAAAATATTATTGAGCTTTTGAACAAAGTATAGTATTAGCTTTGTCAGAAAATTCGTCTCCTTTACAATAGTTATAGAGCTCCCTATTTATAGTTGCACCTAGGGAACAAGGTCCCAGGATCAAGCCCCTCTTTAATGACAATTATGAGGGCCATTGAAGAATATGTAACGGTAGGCAGTGAATGCCATATTCTCTGTAACGGACCATATACTTAATGCTGTAGAATATTCTCCATTAAATGCCACCGAGTGACAAGCATTTATTTCGCCTTAATGAATACCCTTCTCCGATAACAAACGAGATCATTGCCTTCAGACCTGATTGTCTTCTGTCTTCGGCTCCACGTATCGCCTTATCATGCGAGCATTTAATATGAACATATTTTACCCTATACAGATAGAACCCTAAGAAAGGGTCGATTGTCTCCTGCTTTATTTTACCAGTAAAGAATTTCTTGCTAGATTAAATTGGGGGTGGTGACTTATTACACTAACTAAGATGTTTCGTTTGTGCATTTGCAACATCCAAAAGGAAAGTCATCTCTCTTCCATTCGGAGCAAGCATCGTAATCATACCACTATAAAATAATCAATAATGAGTCATATTCTCTGTGCTACGTTCCAATTTGGTGGCAATATTTAACTTGGTACAGAGTTTTAAAAAGATTAAAAAGATTAAAAAATAATTATGGTATTAAACATATCAAGATATTTAGGATAACATAAAAAATTTAAGTTAATTTATTTTTAAATATAAAAATGAGACATTCCTTAAATAGACTAACATCAAAATAGTGTCTTATAAAATAGAAAAAAAAAGTAACAAATATTTTATTTTAGTATTATAAATTTGATGTGTATCCACTTTTCCCTTATTGAAGTACAATAGCAAGTATTGCAGCCAAATGCATAAGTAAGTATACACGATCGACAAGTAATAAAGTAGTAAGGAGAGTATCGTTCCTGCAATGACTTGTTATTAACTATTAAACTATCATTATTCTCTAAACAAGAATTAAAACGAAAAGTGTTTGGGACTAAACTAATTAAAAGGGAAAGAAAATAAAGAATGTACACTAGACAAAAGAGTAGATTTTTTATGTTATCAATGCGATAAAAATGATCTTGGGTTATAGGCTATTTAATAATCCTGTTGTCTTTTTCAATTGATTCAGCTTCTTAATTTGTCTATCATAGGGTTAATTTTACTCGTATGAATCCTACTCAGGTATATCCTATCCTAACTGCGAAATTACTTCCTAAGGCCCAGGTTCTGAAACTTGCTCTATTCGTCCAAGATTGAATAAATAAACTAATGCAATAAATCAATAAATTAAAATCAAAATCCAAATAATACATTAATGAAAGAACCAAAATCGTAGAATATGCAATTTAGCTCCACATAGACATGATAATCAAATGATAAATCGTCCAAAGAAATATAAAAATCGCTAGTTTGGCCGAAGAATAGATAAACTTAAGCTCCACCGCTTTTCTTTGCCTCCTAAATAGTGTATCCCCATGCTTTATGGTGTTTATATAAGACTCATGGCATGTGCGAGGCTACTTTAATCAATCTCAAGTAGGCTAGAAAAACCTGCAGCACAGGTCTTAGACGCTCACGAGGTGGAGTCCGGAACCTAAATATGGTCTTTTTGAACTCAAATGATCGAAATAAATGAAAAAAATATATTGTGACCAAACTATATATAGCGCCCTTTTAAAGGGCGCTATATATGAAGTTGATTAGACGTCCAAGTATAACGTCGTTTATTAAGGCGCTATATGTATAGCGCCTTAATAAACGACTCTATACCCCTTCAAATATATGTCCCTCCCCTTTTCCCCGTTACAGAACCAAAACAACCCC